GGCATCCACAGACATCAGGCATGGTGGCACACACTTATAATCTCATCACTTAAAATATAGAAACTGGAAGATCAGAAGTTCAAGGTCACCCTCAGCTACTTAGTGAGTTCAGACTCATAGATCCCATCCCAAAACCACCACCACCATGCAGAAGATGATTGGCCCACGGTATCCAGGAACAGTTAAGAAGTCCCTGACTTCTGCAGGTTAAAGGTCAACAAAGGTTTTTCTAAATTTTAAGGACATCTTCGTTGTTGGAAATTTAATTGCATGAAAACAACTGGACATACTTCCCATTGTGTCAAACAGGGACCCTGAAACTGAAAGGCCATTCTGTTGGATGATGGAATTCCTCTCATGGTGATCTAGGAGGAACAATGGTAAGTAACTGGTTCTGAATGGAGCCTTCAGTTGAACAATGAATCCTAAGTTTTCACTGCTGAAAATTCTTCATCTATAACGGTGTAAATATACAATGTGGGCTTTAAAGATACATCTGCTTTTAAAGACTGTAACTGCAGCATTACACTGCTTACTTTTGTAGACCAAGTTAAAACATGCAGCCAAACTCCATCAAGTGTTTTGTTGGGGGCAGTAAGTGCCTGTCTGCCTATGAGCAGCAGAGTGGTTTGATGAAAAGCCTGTGAGCAGCTGATTGATGTAAACATACATTTTTTTCGGGCTTTGCATCACCCCAAACTAAGAGAACAGAAGACAGAGGTGTAGTTGTTCCTCAGCTGGGATCTACTATGATGTAATTTACTCGTTTATCATGCTCCAAGATCTGTCTTCTGTGCAAATCTAGGCCAGCTTCATGAAGGTATGGTTTTCAAGTTCCTAAAATGATGTTTTGCATTTCCACCTAGTGTTATATTCATTCCTGGGAAAAGTAGTCAACCCCCCCCCAAACACTTCTTTCTCAGGCATGACTATAAGAAGGAAATACTGAATGTTAGCTTGAGTGAACTTCTATTCTGGTCACATGACAACTGTGACTTCACTTATATCTCTTAAGAGAAAATCAGAAGATAAGCACTAATTCTGCTTTCCATTTGAGGACATCAGGGTGTGGGTTGGCTAGGTCATTTTCTTAAGGCAGAGTTCTATCTGAATCCAAGCTGTCACATATCCTGAGCCTACTTCACTGCCTGGGGTATGTTTTGTTCCACCTTTAAGAATTGTCCAGAACCCCACTGATTGTTGAGCAATGGTTGATGCATTTCTTGGTCTATTTATAGACTGTTCCTGCATATACATCAATGTATACCAAACACACCCACATACTCATTTCTTTATCTCTTCTATACTGTCTTTTTCTATAGCTATATCTAAACAAATTAGTTTTCAGACAATATAATTCTTTTGTTATTTTAAGATCATCTATCATTTGCTTCTGACTAGGAATTTAGAATGGGATTGTCTTTACTCGAAGTTCCATGCAAAATTAAGGGGGAAGCACCATGTGTGTTTTCTGGTCTATTCACTTGTCAGCAAAGGATATGCCCCCAAGCCAGGTATAGTAGTTTGTGGCTGCTGTAATTTCAACACTTTGGAGCCTGAGGCAGGAGGACTGCAAGCTTAAAGCAAGCCTGAGCTATACAGTATGTTCAGTGGTCTACAGTGAGGTCCTGTCCTCAAATTGTTTCCATGTGGTTTCATGTCACTTACAAATGACTCTTTCCAAATATACCTTCATATACTAGGTCTTCTGCATGGCAAGGACAGCCTGGTTTGGCTGGGTACACAACTCAATGTCTGCACTGAAGGACCAATAGATCAATGAACTTGCTATGAGATTTAAATAATGCTTTACCTGGAAAAAAAAGTGGATTCTCGGATAACACCTTCCGGTACAGCCACAATATAAATCACAGTAACAAGAGGCAACAGTTGTTTTATGATGTTGTGACTGTACATGTTGAGAAGGGAGAAGGTGTGCATCAGGCATACTGTAGCACCTTGCACTGTGGATAATGTCAACATTTGCCTCAGTGCCTGAACTGTCATCAAAGCACCTCATAGCCAATGGCATTCAAGTTGAATAACCACAGACTCAGTGTCATACCTCTTTGCAAACATTGTGTGTGGCTCATTTCTGGAGCCTCATGATGGTAGAATGCTGAGAATACCACATTCATGGACATTACAAATTCTTGTATTAGGGAAAGCAGGACTCCCTCTGTCCGATCAGCAAAAACAGGGTTCAAGACAACTGTGCATCTCTCACAGGGAGCCAGTGAAGGAGAAGGGACCCAGAGCAGGTGTTTGTCTGCTCTGGTGAATAGTTCATCAAAACAAAAATAAGAAGACAGAAAATAGTCAGAAGGGATCGAAGAATACAACAGCCACCACCATAATTGGTGAAACCAGCCCTTCTCAAAGTCCATGGAAGCCTGTGCTCTGAAAGAAGGCCCATCATGAAACACATTTCCATGAACTGCATCCTGTACTCTCAATGATATTGTTTTAAAAGCTCGCTCTTCAGGAAAGAACTAGCAAGCGATGAAACTCAGCCTTGCTTCTACATCAAGCTCTGCACAAGATATTAATCATTAGCTAGCTAAAACAGGCGAAAGCAGCTTTCCCACCACAGAGCCAACTAATTATCTTTCATAAGTCTTTTGAGAGGCAAATGTAGCTGTAAACGCTCAAGTGAAAAACATGTTAAATGCATTTGGGTCTAGACTTTGCCAAGAAAATAAGAGAGTCTAAGTGCACAAAATCCAAAGATCTTCCGAAAGCAGAATTTCAAATTGAGGTAAAAAAAAAAAAAAAAAAAAAAAAAAAAATGTTCAGCCTCCCATTTCAATGCAGCTTGTCTTTAGAATTTGATGTCTGTAGCATCCATGGAGGGTGAATGCTGCTGCAGAGTCAAGATGTACATGTGTGATATGGTGAGTGGCACTAGCAAAGAAAATTATTAACAAGTGGGGGAAACGCTTTTCAGGCATCCTTCCTCTTGAAAGGGTGCACACTGTTGTAAAGCTCGCTCCACCAGCAGAAAACCCTAAAACTGGGCAAGTCAAGGAGCAGAACAGAAAGCATAGGTGATTACCGGGGACCACAAAGCCCTGGGTGCAGGCAACTGTAGAGCAGGCAAACATGAGCGAGGAAAATCCGGGGCTGTCTGTACAATATATACAGATTTTTTTTCAAATGTAAATTTGAAAATGAATGCTGCTATTATACCAGTGGCATAAAGGGAAGCATAACGAGGCTGCCCCACTTCCCTTTAGACACAAGGCACACAGAGAGGGAGGGATGTGAAAAGCCAATTCTTTGCCGCTCTTCATCAATTGCACTCAGTTCTACCCTGTGACACAGTCGCACTGCAAAGAGCACTCGGCAGTTAATGGACATGATGCTGAGAAAGCACTCTCAGGTCTCCCGAAGACAGGCAGGAGAAACTGCAAAGGGCCAGAAAAGACACAAAGACATTTATTTATCCTTGTCCTTCCACATAAAGTTATTTCTTTCAAATATCTGATCTCTGTGTTCACAGTAGAGTTAGCCCCATGCCCTTGCCTGGCCTTGTCAGGATAACCATTACAAATTGCAAGGAATAGATATATTCTCCAAGCATTGCAGCCTACGCTTACAATCTGTCAGAACGTGGAGCAAAGGGGGAAGCTACATGGCTTTGACTGTGTACATCCATCTCTAGCTATCACTCTTCCCACTGACAGGGTAGAAGCAAACAAGGAAACATGAAAAGCTAAAAATAAGTGACTGGCCAATTGCTCAGATAACCTGTGACTTTGGGCACAGGTGTGCATTCCTCCTCCCCCTCTTTATCACCTCCAGGCAAAAGTCACTGGAATTAAGAGAGCAGACCTAGGAATAAAGGAAATAAAAGTGTGCTGCAAAACTGCGTAAAAGCTGCTGAGTGAAGCCGTACACCTGGAGCCATACAAGGTCAGGGACTGCCCAGCATGTGACCAGAAGACAAGGAGTCACCAATACATGTTGTTGCATGTGAGAAACAGCAGCGCAGGCTATTTTAAATGCTCTAAATTTTCAGTGTCATTTCATACAAAATGACATTGTTTCTTCACTCAGAGGAATTCACAGGTTCATTCCCACAAGTCAATCAAATCAGTATTTATTAAGATCCACTGTATGCATTTTACTGGCAAGATACATAGCATAAAGATGAATGTGGCTGACATGCAGGAATACATACAAAAACACATATGTGCTAATATAATTGGCTATAGAAAAGGTATAATCCAAAGGGATGTCAGATTTGAAAACATCAAGAAAGCCAAGACATTATTATCTCCTTAGTTTTCCAGGGACTGATTTGGTAAAAATAAAACAAAAGCACAAAAACCTTGATTTTTGAAATCTTACATATTCAAAAAGAGATAGATCAGATAACAGTCAGTTTTTAACTCTTACAACTTCAAGATGATTTGTCTAACCCAATTCTTTTAGAAATTGTGATATCTGATTGAGAAAAAAAGAGGCATTTCATGAATACAAATTTATTTTACATCACAAATTTATAACAATTACCTTTTAAATAAACAGGGCTTTTTTTCATAGAGTAGGTGGGGCAGAGGATTGTGGATTGGTTACATCTTTCTGTAATCTTCAGTGGCTGATTCATTTCTCTATTTTAGAATTTTGAACCCCGGGAAGAGTCTGACTCATACACACTGGTGATGGAAAACAGTAACATTACAGCGCCTTTGAAATCTCAATCTATTCTCCCACAAAAAAAAAAAAGAAAGAAAGAAAGAAACCTGGAAAAACTACATCCCATAGTGTAAACACAAACACAGTCATCCATTAGCACAAATTATGACATCACCAGTGGTCTCAACTGGAATACCAGTTCCCAAACTGTGCACTTGGCTGTGCATGTAGCTTTCTATTCCTTACAACATTTAAATGAAAACCAAACCTTTGATAATGTTCTAAACCACAGAATGCCCTAAGATTAGTAAAATTCTCAAATTGAACCTACCACCCCCCCCCACACACAATGCTCTGTCTTTGTGTCAGATAATCAAGGCTGATTGATACAGCACACAAATGCCCCTTGGTAAGCCTAGGATTCCAGCAATGTATGCCACCTGCATATCTGCTGGCCTTTGCTTTCCTTCATTTCCTCCCAATGCTCCTGTTCCTCTTCCCCACTGCTATTCTGGCCCAGAGCGATCCAGCCAATCATCTCTTTACGCTTCATGGTGCGCCTACTATAAATGGAAATCATTAAAGTTACATCAGAGAGCTGGAAGAGGGCCACCTGGAAGACAAAGGTCTCTTTATAGACAGGATTGGGTTGACCACGCCGAATGGATGTCTTGCACCGGGACATCTCTTGACCCACACAGTTGAGGAGGAAGAGTTTTCCATATGTGTCTACAGCAAAAACAAACAAGGGGAGGAGGAGGAGAATACATCAGTGCTTTGCACTGCACTGGCATAGCTGTAATCTCTACATTGACTTCAAATTTCTCCTTACAACAGTATCTCCAGGTCCGGTTGTTACTGCTATTGGACCACTACATCGTGCTTAGATTATTAAGGAGAAGGATTATTTCTTTGTATGTCTATTATTTCACACAACCCACAGCCTGGCACATTATGAGGTTCATTAGAACTCTACTCATCCAGTGTAGAGGTAGAAAGTCATATACACAAGGGGGGTAGTGGCCGTCCAGAGAGAGCTTGATTTTCTACAAAATGAATATGCATTCTTTTCTCCATGTGTGGGATTTTCTTTCAGAGTTGAGCTTCAGCCCACAAGTTTCAGCCTCACTCCTCTGTGCATTCATCCAATGCCCTGATGTCCCAGGGGCCACCCACCTTCTCCAACTTTTACCAAACCTTTCCTCCAGAATCTTTGTGACACCACCACAGCACCCGCCATCTCTGCCTGGTTTCTTGTCTGCAAACGTCCAGTCCCTCAAAGGGAAAGAGAGGGGTTGCCTTCCTTAGCACAGTACCTCCATGCCTGGCTTAGCTCCTAACCAGGGCTAGATTCTCAACAAATCATTTTAAAATGAATGTTCATGACTAAACAGAAAGCTCTCTCAATCTCACATTTTCAAACAACGAAATCAAGCAAAACCTCCCATTTTAAGACCCCTACACTATAATATTATGAAGTAGTGACCAATGTCCTCTTTTTAGTTACCAAAAGGAAAATAAAGCACCCAAATTTTACTAACATCGTCTACTTTGGGTAAAATTCCTCAATGAATCATTATAAAGAAAATTATCCTCAAAAACACATTTTATCACAGTCACTTCATTGATCACTTTTGGACTTTTAACTATAATTTTGCTTCTAACTTAGATGCATGCTACTATTAAAAAAAAAACACATCAAAATGTTAGGGTGTTACCTAAGTTCCATCATTCTGTACTTTCTGTTCAGTGCGGGCAGAAATCTTAGTGTTAGCAGCTCGCTTTCTGAGCTAACCAGCAGTCAAACTTTTTTAAAGCATAAACCCAGACCTCTATAATTTCCTCTCAGAGCATTGTAAGGTAGGAAGCAAATTACAACCTACGGTTTCCTTTGTGTGTTGATCTTTTTTCTATTCCAGTTTGATGTGTTATTTTATGCACTTATCCGCTGAGAAACACAAGGTGTGAGATTACACTTCAGGTGTGAAAACACTTCTCTGTCTCAGAAACAGGGTTCTCCACTCCTCAAACTGTTTCAGGGGAAAGCTGTCAACAAACCCATAATGGGTTACTAGCCTGGGCTTCCTTCAGCAGCTGAACAGCAACAGGGACCCTGCAGGAAAGCTCACACCAGGCCTTGATCTGCTCAGGCAATTCTCCCAGTTGGAGCAGTGGAGATGGAGTTAGTCTTTCAAATGAAGACATGTTTGTTCATTCATTCATTCATTCATTCATTCATTCATTCATTCATTCATTTAGAAAAGAACATCCCCAGCTTCAGCCTGTCCCAAGATAGAACTCTAATTACAAGAAAGTTCACTTACCACAAACCTCACCACAGCCTCGGGGGCATAGGTGCATGGCATGGAAAGATGAACATTTTATAAGCAAAACAACATAAAGGCACCTGGCCAAAGGAAGAGACACTGTCCAGTTCTAAGAGAGAAGCTTTACTCAGCATGCCCAGGAAATCCTGCCTGGGTAAAACTGGCAGAGACACAAAGAGGGTCCTCTGGGATTCCACAACTGACTCCAGTGAGCACCAGTCAGACAGGTAACCAAATACCCAATGTAAATGAGCCCTATTTTATTTCTTTGGAAGTTGGTCATAGAAGCTATAAAACATGGAACAAAAATTTATCCTATGAAGATCCAGAAATCTTAATAGTATCTTCAGTAGCTCAGAGCCATCATCAAAGGCTAAATGTGTCAGGTCCCTTTGACAGATCGGTGACTGGTATCAGCTCATCTGTCTCAATGCATAAGGAAAATGCCTCATGTAACCTAATATTTTAAATATTTCAAGAGAAGTATGCATCTAAGTTAGAAACAGAATTGTAGTTAGAAGTCTAAAATTATCAATGAAGTGACTCTGATAATATATTTATATTTTGTTCATATTAGCTAAAAACCCCTATTTATCAAGGCACAAAATTATGTCACTTGGAGCACGGGAGGCATTTACCCCAAAGAAATAAACAGTCACAGAAAAGAGTCCTCTCGAAACACCTGTCCATTCACAACCTAATACTGTACGAACTATTGCAGAGTGAGCCTCTCTAGGGATGCTGCACCAACTACTGCAGAGTGCCTTCAAGGCATGGTCTACCAGTTACTACACAGTGAGACTCAATGGATGTCTGTCAACTACTATGGAGTGAGATTCCAGAGCAGAGGTCTGTATGACTTAAGTATCTTTAACTCTCTGTTCTTTTTTCATATATTAGTACCTACAAAGAATTTTAAATATATACAAGAATGAAGAAACTAATACCACATGTTCCCATTTGAGATGGTTAGCATGTTTTGCATTTGTATATAATGTATATAATGGGTCACATCTGTAATACCAGCACTTGAGAGGCCAAGGCAGAAGGGTTATTATGAGTTTGAAGCCAGCCTGGGCTTACATGGTTGGTTCTACACTACATAGTAAAAATCTCTCAAAAGTAGCCACATTGATGATTTTTGAGCAGCCCTATTTGGCATGTTCAACTTCTAATGTTATACTCCATCATTTCCAATGTACGTTTTTAGAGCTTAAGCACATGTAAACAAAAGAAATCCAAAATATATTTAATAGCATTACAACACTCAAGTATATATCTTCCTGAAACATTTTCTAGTTTTTGATAGATATGTAGCAGTTTAATGATGAAAATATACTAACATTTTACTATACAACAGAAATACACTGTCAATTAAAAGCACACAAACATCTTTGAATGAAAACGTGCAAAAGACTGCCATTACAACCCATTTCAGTGGAGGATACCAGCTTTGTCAAGTGCTAGCAGAGGCTTGCAGTTCCATACACCACCCTTTGAATGTGTGTTACAATAGAACACACTTCCAAGAGAAAGCTTGCACACTTGGGGGAACACAAATACAATTAGCATATAATGTAGCCAGCGCCCATCTAAATACATTTTTTCACTTAACATTAAATTTTTAAGTATTACCTCTATATGTGTAAGACAGACAGATGAGTTTGTTTTCATAGGTACTGTTCCAATGCATCAGTGAATCTCAACTTGGTCATCCATTTTCTTAAAGAAAGGATATTTGTAACAACCAAGAAACAAAGACTTCAGTATTCCATTTGCATTGTATCAATAGTCAACGATCCCTCCCAGAGATGTGAGTGGCCTCTATAGATGGAAAAATCCTTGCCACTTATATTTACTGATGATATTTTCTCCCTATCAGTGGCTTCTCTTCTTGCTGTATTTAGAGCAACTTTCATAGTATTCTAAAAATTTATTGTGGAGGGAAGTTTATAAATGTCTTTCTTTTCAGGGAATGCCTTGTTGTTAATTTACTTTAATTTTTTCAACTAGAACACCCTACTCAAACTTCATAATCTCTTGTGTTTTCTCCAATATTTTCTCCTTTGATCTTTAATCTGGCTAAAATTAATGCTTTACTGTGAGATAAGGAGCTATGTATTTCTTTCTGTATGAAAAACAGCATTCAGTAAATTATTCAAAAAAAAACCCCACAATGTCCAGCAGGTCCTTAGGGGTTCTGACTTGATAATATTTATTATAAGTTTAAAATATGTTGCTGTTTTAGATAATCCTTGTGTCATTTTTAAAATGTGTCTTTAAGATTTATATAGGATAATCCTATGTCATCTTTAAAACATGATTTTTAGTAATGTTAAGTTTCAGGTTCTTTTAATTGGCTGTTGGTCATGAACTTTAGAATAATCTTGTCAAGTTCAAAAACCATGGTCAGAGGCCAATAGAATGGCTCGGTGGATGAAGGTGTTTGCTACCAAGCCTGACCATATGGTTCAATTCCCCTAAACCAACATGGTAGGAAAGAAAACATTCCCTTACATTGCTCCCCCTCACACACATATACACACACAATTAAAATATCATTTTAAAAATTTAAAGCTATTGGAATTTGAACTTGAATTGTACTAGAGAGACTAATATAAGAAAATCTGCTGTTACAACATATGGAATATCTCCATCAATAAACATGGTATATCTATCAACTTATCAATTTAGTCCCCATCTGCTGTTTATTTTCCCAAAATGTTTTATTATTTCTTCTATAATTTTCCCACTTGCCCTTGATTACAGTTATTAATTGGGATCTTAGATGATGTATTGCTATCATATTACTAATACTCTTAAACTTTATATTTTAACTTTTGCTGATGCATTTGAATATAATTAACTTAGTACAAGTATTACTTTAAATTTGTAAAAATTGGTAGATATTCTTGTGTTTTAACACAGGCAACTGGATTTTCTATATATAATATTAGCTTCATTTCTTCCTGTCAAGTTTTACCTATTTCATTCCTTTATCTCATGCTATTAAGCTGTCTGGAGTGTTATTGTCAAGTTAAGAAAGTTCCCTTTGGGCCACATATTAGTCAATGTACATCTAAGACTCTTGTACCAAAGAGACATGAAGCCTTAAAACTAAATTCACCTAAATTCTCACAAAGTCCAGTTAGACTCCACTAATAAATGCTACCACAAGAGACAATAAAGCAGAAGAAAATGGAAATTGGAAGCATTAATGGTAGACACGGGAACTCCCAAGAAACACTCTGCTGTGTGCACACAGAGTAGCCCTGTGAAGTGCTTCAGATCCCTGCAAACAGTTTTCCTGCTGGTTAACCTCCAGTGTCGCAGTGACTGATATTAATGGTAAACATTCTCTGACACAATGCACTTAGATAATTCTGTTTTCTAGATAAAAAC